AAAATAGGCAGTAGAAAAAATACATGGTGATTTAGCGTAGAGCTAACAAAATTAATAAATTTAATGAAGCCATTAATTAAGAAAATTCAGTTCGAAAGCGACAAGTCAGCTGTCAGAGGTATACCTTAAAATCTCGAAAATCTTACCCAAAAATGCCGCGCGGTCCCAGGTAAGTGAAAAGAACGGTACGGGTAGTAATAATAATCCATCCTGTTCCAGTTTCCGGTGTAGCTTTGAGCCAGATTATCGACCGAATAAGAAGAGACTAGCCGGCAAATGGGACAAAAGCCAGCTAGCTCGATGCCCTGGGGGTTGGGGGAGAAGGGGTATTTGTTTGCCTTATAAGGGTGGGTGGTTGACTGACGGACTGTGGGAGACTCACTACGCGGCCATACCATTTGACGGCAAACATGACCCACCCGGTCAATCCGTTAACGGGAAACGAATGGACTCATGGTTCGGCGTGTTATGGAGATTTTCAAGGGACTTGGAAGCTGAGTATCCGCCACTTTCCACCTAGAGATTTTGAGAAACGCAGTTTAAAAAAAACGGTTTTTTTTTGTAACCAGCTGGAGGAGTCTTCTACAAGGGTTCTTTCAGAGTCTCTCTCTTCCAAGGAGCTAGTAAGCCCAGCCCGAGAATCGACCCATTACCTCCACTAAGTCTTGACCGTTTTACTCCAAGACCCGCTGGACGTTCGTTTTTGAGTTTTCTTTTAAAGGGAAAGGCAAGGCATGATTCAGGATTTTTGGATTTTGGTTTTTTTTACCAAAATCCATACCACATTTACGAAATGCATAAATCCACCATCCGCTTCTATTCCTTGCCCGCCCATTTAAATTGGCAAATCTAGGCAATGCAACAGGTCTATTTTCACGTTACCTTAAAACGATGGACTCTTAAAGAATCTCTGCTAGCTTGCCATAGAAACTTTCATTTTCAATTTTAATTTGAATTGCACTTTATTTACGGTTGTTGGCGGCCTAGCAAGACCATTTGAGAAAATTTATGATATGCGGGAATTCTTGAACCTGAAGTATTTTTGGGATTTTGGCGTTTTGCCAAATAATAAATTTAGAGTTTGGTATTTTCTAGGTTATTTGGCCTCGTTTAAGGGTATGATTGATATTTTGCCATTAGTCCTCATTAGTCAGCCCTTAAAAAATCGAAAATGTTCGTAACTCACCACAACTTCATCCGGTTCAGCCCTGACGCTCTTCGACCGGAATCGAATCCCCAGAAAGGGCATCGCAAAGGTCAAGAAATCAGCACAAGTGCGAGGAGCTGCCAATTTTCAATCGACCCCGCTGCGGACTAATTTCGCTGACATGCACACATTGGAGCCGCCCGGAATATTATGTCTCTCGGGGGGCACTGGCATACCTCCTTCGATTTGTTTTCGTGATCCGAACGCGCCAGCTGGCAGAATCCACATTAAATCACTGCAAATCGCGGGGTCGAGGGGTTGCAGGACTGACCTCTGGCATTTGGGAAAATTTTGGAATTTAAAGGGGCGATAACGACAAAAATAGGTTGTAAACGGATGCTGATAGATCAGCCAATTCCGAAATATTTTGCTAGCTTGCCTCTAGGTGACCTGAGCGATTCTCAGGAAGCTTAAAAACTAAGAGTCTCATTTCTTCTCCTTGCTCTCTCTCTCTCTCTCTCTCTCTCTCTCTCTCTCTTTCTCTCTCTCTCTCTCACTTTCTCTCTCTCACTCTCTCCCTCTCTCTCTGTCAATCTCCCTCTCTCTCTCTCGCTCGATATTAGGAATGAGACTCCGGCTGTCGGAGTCGCTTTAAAATACCATCCCTTGCTTTCTCTGGTTGAAGAAACCGAGCGCATGGCCCTCCTCGGTGCTCCTGTCATTCGGGTGGGCCCCAGGGGCCATTCCCAGGCTTCTTGAGTCGACCATGAGGAGGAGGATGAGAAGCACTGAAGAAGAAGACGACTCCCCCTCCCGATTCGACAAAGCCGGCCTCACAATGGGAATACAAGTGGATTGATTGCACAAGCTGCAAACAACACCCCTCACACACCATCCGAGGTATGGAGAGAGAGCGAGAGAGAGAGAGAGAGAGAGAGAGAGAGAGCAACTCAGAAACAAACAAACATGCACACACCCACGAACACACTGTCTTTCTAACCCCCTCGGGGCTTGGTCCAATTCAGATCGTCCGGGGGATTATTGGCGGCCTCGAATTGAGGCCCTGAGGGGCAGGCCGTTGTTTGGAATGGATTGTACTTGCCCTGATTGTCTTCTTTTGCTTCTCATATTTGAAGGAACAAACTTTTCTAATTCGCAAAGTTTTTCATTCTTTATTGCTATATTTGAATAACTTAAAACTGCAAAAATTCAAAAAGTTGTGCTTTCACATACCGAAACTATAACGCGTTTTCTTGATTTTGCGCCAGGCTAGATTATGTCTTTCCACTAGAACCATTAGCTCTTTATAGGATGTTTCATACTTTACACTTTATTTTTCAAAAAAATCGTAAACTTTTTGCATTTTTTCCGGAAAACCGGTTTTATTTTCCAGAATGAAAAGCGCTGATACCGTATTCCTGGCCATACTCCTTCCGATTGTCAGCTCCCTCAACCTTGACGAAGTTCTCGTCGGAGTCGCGGTTCCGCATTACATTGAAGGGGTAAGCTAACGCAAATTTTTGCTACAAGAATCATCGGAACTTCGAAAATAGTTTTTCTAGGTGATGAACGATCGTGGGAATACTGAATGCGGACTGCCCTCTTTCACAAATGCGCTACCACTACAGTATCGCCGGAATTTGCGGCGTGTTTGGGCGAATTTTCCGCTCGGCTCGAAGTCCTGTGCTATGTGAGTAAATTTCTTTGCTTATTATTTTAAAATAGATTTTTAAAAAATTTGAAAATACTAGATTTTTGAAAATTTGTATAAGTTACGACTTGTTGTCACTCTCCCTTTTGGAAAGCTTAGAAGCCCCGAAAATCGACGAATGCTTTTGGCTCTGGATTCACAGCCCTAAAGTTTACCTGTGTTTTGGAGCGAAATGTCGAGACCTAGCCAACAAAAGAAGTCGATTTTTACCCTTCCTACCCCTTTAAGATCCAATTTTTGATAGCAATTTTTCAGGGAACTCCGCCAAACCAAAGCTATCCTCGAAGGCCTTCCTATGGAGATTCGAGAAAAAGCTTTTAAAAATCCCGTAGGGGCCAAGATTTTTTCTTAGAAAATGATATTACTTTCTAGAGATACACCCCGTCAACCGCTGCTCTACTACCCGGCACCCCTTTTTTAGCCTCTTTGACAAGCGAGCAGCAGGAACAATTGACGAAGGTATTTACGGTACCTTACTTCTAATATTTTTAGCTAACTTCGGATGGGCGCATCGAAGAACCGGAAAGGATTGAACTATTGAAGGCCTGGGCTGTGGATCATTTGGAGCCAAAAGCTCAGGCTCGCTTCGAGCAGACGCTACGTTTCTTGACGGCAAAGGCTAGCCGATTTCAGGAGAAGGTATTCGGATAGCGAGCGTTTTCTCTCCCACTCTCTCTCTCTCTCTCTCTCTCTCTCTCTCTCTCTTTCTCTCTGCCTCCTACTTCGATAAAGTTTTCAGTTTCCCGTCACTCTACCAAAAAACCAGGATCAGGTTTTGCTCAGCTTTTGCTAAAATATATGCTTATCTACCCTACACTAAACCTGAAGCTTTAAAATTAGCATAAAGCTCATTTAAAAATAACAACAATTACTTTTTTACTTCTAGAGCATACTTTCAGGTGGCCGCCCTCTCAGCCGAAGCTCGCCTGGCAATTAATCGATTGGAAGACTTGCGCAAGCAAAAGATGGCCGTGATTAATCGATTGTCGTTGAATGCTAAAAAGTGTGTATCGGAAAATACGGATAGGACCTAAATTTTGTGTTAAATAAGCATTGGTTAACTTGATGAAAATTTCTAGGGAACTCGGTGTCATCTGGAAACAGAAATGCAACAGTCCAGATGGCATTGATCCGGACTTGCAGCCGATTGCTTGCTCTTCTGGTGGGAATACTGTTTTTATGTTTTGGATAGGGCGGTATTAAAATACCTTAATAAACAGATTTAACGGTATATATGGAAAAACCTCCATTTAGTAAATTAAATAAGTCGAAGGCTTCCTTAATCGCTATTTTTAGAAACCGAATCAGCTCCGACAACAGCCACAACCCGAACCACGACGACAAAGGCGATGCCCCTTTCGAGTCGCATCGAAATGGTGACTACGGTAGATTTACTTTACATACCTCAAACATTGCTTGTTTTAGACCACTCCGACCTCAACCCAAACGTCCAGTACTGGATTCCCAATACTAATCGAAACCACCCAAAACCCGCTCGAATATTCTACCGTACCCTCGACGATGGTCACCTCCGAGACGACGCAAATTGAAGAGAAAGTCTCTTCGAAATCTGATATTCAGGTAGGAAAAATAGGCTCGCAACCGAAAACCGTAAATTTTAGGTATTCCGGAAAACTTCTTCAATTTATAATATTGTTACGCCTCGGCCGGATGTTGGTGGGAATACGGTAGGTTTATTCTCTTGTAAGAGAGAAGAGAGAGAGAGAGAGAGAGAGAGAGAGATAGATAGAGGGAGAGCAAGAAATCCATTTTAAATCTCAATTTTAGGAACCTCCAACCGGCCCAGCTGTCGTGTCCGCTTCAATGCCCCCTTCCATGTTTGCATCCATGGACCGCGAGCAGTTGTCGGTGATTTTGAGAAGGATTTTCCCGAATTCACATTTTAGGCGATAATATAATCCTGTTTATGAACTTAGTAAAATCGATAATAAAAAATGGTGCTAATGTACTACATTTTTGAAAAATCCAAACTGACTTTTTGAACATTTTGATTTGTATAGTTTTAATTGGAATCAGCAACCCATTGAATTTTCTGCATTTTCTCTATGTATCGCCTGACCAAATACACAGACAATTTATTGCTTCTTTCTTTTTTCGATGTCCTATTATAGCCACGGCCTATCGTAACAAATTTTTCAATGTGGCGGTGGAGGTGGCAATTTCGACGGCGCTTCGGTGTTTCCGCTCCGCCCGCTTCTTTTCCCGTTCCACCTCGTCGTGTAGCATCGTCAGGAAGGACCCGTCGATACCTAAAATCCGCTTTAGAAAATTATATACCATTTCTTGCCTTCAAATATTTGATCACATTTCTGGCAGGCGTCCGTTTTCCTGAGTTTTTGCCATCTGTCCACAACGGTTGAGAGTTGATAACTGGAAAAAAGGGTGGTTCTCAAATATTTTTGTTATTTCTGGAATTATTCTGAACTGTCAACCGAAACTTCGATTTGGTCGAAAATCCTAAATCGAGATTTTCGTAAGCGGAAATTTTCGTTCCCTGAATCCACCGTCACCCCAAATTTTTGTGTAGACCGTTTGCGTCTTCGAATGCAAGCAAACAGCCACCCCCGGCGATGCAATCATTTCCCTTATCACCGCAAAATGGGCTCTCCGTCTTCTGCCAGTGAATTCAGGAGGATATTTCATTGTGCCGTCGCCTTCCAACTCACATTATCGATCGGACGTTTCGCTCCCGATTGAGGCGGCACTGCTGGGTGGCGAGATTCTGCCGCAGTTTCCTAATCTGGGGCGTCGTCTCGACGTAGCCGTGCTGATAAATGGCGAATTGGTTAGCGAAGAAATCGTTGAGAGGGCAATATTAGCCAGTCAAAATGGTCTCGCTGGTTTTATGGAGGCATGGAAGGATGGAGCGAGGTGGAAAATTTGCAGGATATAGAGGAGAAGCAGGAGAGAAGGAGATAGAAAGCGAGAGACGGAGCAAGAGCGGAGTGAACGTGAGAGAAAAAGGAATTGAAACCGAATTTCGGAAATTTCGAACTCGTAGGATGCAGGATAGCGCAGCGAACGGGAACACTTTATGGCGAATGCATGCAAATTAGGTAACAGCCGAGGAAGAATAGAGAGCGAGAGAGAGAGAGAGAGAGCGAGAGAGAGAGAGAGGGAGAGAAAGAGAGAGAGAAGCGAGAAAGGGACTGGTGAAACCATTAGGAGAAGTTTATGTGTATGTAAATTAGGAGAAAGAGCTAGGCAAGTGGAGTGAAAGAATGATATGACGAGAGAGGGAGAGAGAGCGGGAGAGAGAGAGAGAGAGAGAGAGAGAGCAACCGAGCAAAAGCTTGATAAAACCAACCGGTGAATCGTCCATAATATCCACCAACACATTCGCCTCGGCCAAATATTTTGGCGGCCGCCCGCTTGGTCTCACTTTTGCCTTTGGTCGTACTGGAGATGCGACCTCAGACTGTGGCGTTACCGGTTTTTCTTTTATTTCTGGAAAAACTAAATTAATCTTTGTCCGACAAATTACGAAAGAATACACTTAGTCACCACTTTACTTTTGTTTGGTCTCGTAGCGAGTGTGTTTGCTGACAGCGCACAGAGCATGTTTCGCCACTAGCAGCTGGGATGGCCCGGGTTTTTATTGGTATCATTAAAGCAAGAAAGTACTAAGCGCTGAAGAATATTCTTTCTTTAAAAGGTTGAAACAAAGAGGAATATTATCAGATTCATAGCTCACGACTCACCTAACTTCGGAAGATTCAACGACCTGACGCTCTGCGGACTAGAGTTTTGCGAGGAAGGAATATTGAGCGGGGCTGTCAAAGGTATAAGATGCTGAGCAAAAAGGGCATGTAGCTGCTTCAAAGTCTCCAGATCCACGCCAGGGCTTGCCATAGGTGTACTAGCAGCAGAAGAGCTGGATGCTTGTGAAGTGGGATCTTGCAGCGGGGTAAATGACGTGGGTACAGTGAGGGTGCTTCCAAAAATTATCGGCTTCGGTGCTGTGTTCATGTCTGAAAGTTTTGTATATGAAATCAACGGCGTATACACTTGAATAAGAGCAGAAACAGTAGCATTCAAAAGTTGCTTAAAGAAAAATGGCAGAATAACGGAATTGGACAAAATTCCGATATTGTAAGCGACGACAAACGGAGAGGTCGGAGCCGAAAAGCCAGTAAAAAAGCTGTTAGAGAGAGGGAGAGGGGGAGGAGGCGAGAGAGAGCGCGAGATGGAGAGATAGATAGTGTAATCAAGAAACAAGGACAGAAACAAAACCTAAATTTCAAAATTGAATTGCGTTCAAGCGCAAATTTTCTTCGTGAGGCTTTGAAAAAGCGACAAATAAATTTTGGATTGCAGTGCCGTAGAAATAGTTGACAAAACAAAACCAGAAACCTACAATACGCAGCATAAAAGGAAAGGGCTCAACAAGAAACAATTTAAATATAGCTTTCGTTTTTCGATGAGCTGCCATCAAAAATTGTTTAAAAATTCAGCTAATAAACGGGAATCCGCCTTCACCTCGTGATCCAGACCATTCGATTCCAGAAATTTTTATTACACCAATTTATTCCAAAAATAGAATGTCATCATCTTACCCCCACGATTTCCTTACTCAACTCTCGCAATCCCCCGAGCCGAAAAACGGATCGATGCCAATCTATTTGAGATGGAGGGTAGGGAAAGCAACACACATAGGGCACGACAGGGCAGCAGCAAACGGGAGAAGGGGTTGAAGACAGTATTAGCCGCGGTGTGTCTGTTTCTATCGGTCTGTCTGTCTGCCCGTCTGTTTGTCCGTTTGTGCTGTGCCGTCGTGTCTCCGTTTAACTGTGTAAGGAAAGATAAGAGGGGTGGCCCCGGCTGGAGATGTCTTTTCACTCCCTGATTTCGCCGCTCTCTCGTTTCGCTAGGGTTTTCTGCCCCTCGAGATTTCTCCATGTTTCCCCGGGGTTTCTCCCGCTCGGGTTTTCTCGGCCCAGCCCCCTTGCCTGCGATCTGCGGAATATAAAAACGTCTTTGTCTGGGCGGAGCCGCCGAGCAGCCCCGATCGAGAGCAAAGTGCTCAAAGGCAGATCGATTGGCGGGGCGAACGAGCATTGGGTGGGAAGAGGAGGGGCACTTGGCTTTCGCGATCAAATGCCAGAAAAACCCTTTGGGGAGCCGTTGTACGCACGAAAACGCGACCGAAAATCTGGCGACATTTTATTCAAACAGAACGGGCGCGGAATTGTATTAGCAAAGAGTATTTGGGCCGGTTAAAGTTTTTGTGATTACGGGTAGGCGAATTCCATTAAGGAAGGGTATCTAGCCGACATTTACACCTCACTATACGGCAATTTTCTAAAGGGACGCGCAAGGCAAGCTTGTGGATTTTTGGCTGGAGCTTCCGAAGATTTGGCGGAACCCGCGATACGTAACGCCGTGCAAGACACAACGACGTTGTATCTTCGTAAGTTGTCTAACGAGCTGACGGTTCCTTCAATGTGAAGCAGGAGATACGATATGGCATACCGTAGCGGGTTTGTAAGTTCTCAAAGTTTAGGCATTTTCAAACCATCGAATAACAGAAATTCGGTAGTTGCTTTCCTAGCAACGTAAAATTAAAAAAGGAGGGCAACACCCACACCGCGCCTTTATGCTGCTAAATAAACTGGTATGCGCCAATTTAAGGTTCGGACTCTGACTTCTGACCTTCCGAAGTTGCAAGATCGAATAACCATGTAGCAACATGAGCACAAACTGGCAAGGTCCCAACCGGCTAAAACGGGTCACGTTAAAAAGCGCAGCGCCCAGATTCTGAAGCACCCAAAAAATGGCAAAAAGGAAATGAGAAAATGGGCGGGGTTTTGATAGCGAAATCGCCCTTCAATTAAGCCGCAGAATTCTGCATAAATTATTTTTGAACCTTTTTGGATGGCTGCGGGAGCATCCTTATCCCTTCCGGCTTTATTCTCCCTTCCTTTGTGAATTGGCCATTCTTGGATCCCAGAGAATGTCAAAAGTTTACCATTTGAATTATCAGCTTCGAAGTTAAGTCTTGTGATCCCATGTGGCCTGCACCTGTGCCCACTCGTAGAATTACAGCACACAAAACGCCATTTTAATTTCTTTAAATTATTATGAGTCACAGAACTGTTATCAGCGCTGAACCTGTCGCCTCCGAGTAGCCAAAATGATTCTGGAAGGGATTACTCAACCCATTTCCGCATTTTCTGAACGGCCACAATGTCTATTTCTATCACTGGGATTGAGGATATCCAGAAGGTAACCGTATTTTTAAGGCAACGAGTTTAGAATGAAATTTATAGAGTGCACTCGAGATTTCGAACAAGACCTCGGCGTTGTTGGAGGAGTTAACAAAGACGGCAGAAGTTGTAAGTTGGCAGAATAGACGACATTAATTCGTTAAATGTATCTCATTTTTATCGTTAAACCAGCTTAATCTTAAAGAGATGAGGACGGCATCTGTTGAACCCCCCTTGGGGAAGGGGGGTTCAACAGGTCCCGCGGCGAGAGAGGGCGCCCAGGGGAGAGGCGCAGAGACATCTTCTTTCCCTCGCGTAATCGATTGACTTATGCCGCCCCTATCCCTTTAAGTCGCAGTTGCTGGACGATTGTTAATTTGCTAATCAGTTACGCAACTGAATTCCACAAATAATATGTAATTTTCCAACGCAAAAATATGAAGCTAGGATTAGTACGACGGCGTTAAACTTTGAGCTTTCCGCAACGCCGGATACCCAGCGAATCTTTGCAACGCGTAACCGGTTGCCAAGTTTTAAATGGTGCGTCAAATCTATGGGAACAGTACTTTCTTTAAGATACTATCCAACTTTTTAGCTAAATGAACACATCCTCCTCAACATCACCGGTGAGTTGACTGGATTCCTCGACTCGGCCAATGAGTCGGCGATTGCATTTTCAGAACTGGTACGATTTTTGTATAAACATTGACAGAAAACGTAGGCTGAATCCATCGGTCTTTCCACTGATGTCCTGGTATCAAGAATCGATTCCTTACTGTTCTGGATCACATGGATTTTGATCCCGTTCTCCGCCCTTGTTCTATTGGCGCTTGCCGTTTGCCTGGTTTCCTATGGAGTTAGCAAGCTACGAGGAGCGTCAAGTCAGTTGTACCTTTAAAGTTTTTAAGATCTCGTTGCTCTTTAGAGCCCGTCACATTGCCTCGGAGCTACGATGAAATGCCGATGCTGCCCGGGACGAAACGGCCCAGAAATTTTTGAGATGGCATGACAATTTTCAAACGCCTTTCAAGCTTTTTAATAATTTCAAGATTTTTTGGACCTATTGGGTGCTTTATCTTCTGTGAATTAATAAAACAGCTCTCAAACTCGGTTTACAATTGAAAATACACTCAAATTTCCGTACGTTTAAATTATAAACTTTCAAGTGTGGCGATTGATGGAACGAAACTAGTTAATGCTCGTCACAACTTTATTCACAACAGCTGGCATCAATTTTGAATCGCACGAAATAACTAGGCGCGGGGTTCGTTTTTCACAACACGAAATAAAGATAATGGGTCATAGAGATCGAATTCAAATCGAAAAATCATAGTGCTGGAAAGATAGAAAATTAGTAGAATTAAGCATTGATTATTTCTTGAACTTCGGCGGCAGTCTTTCGGTCGATCACCACCGAAACCATCGTCAGCATCGCCATGATTTTTTGTTGATAGTCGTCGGCTTGCTGGAAGTGATAGATCTCCGTGTGATTTTTTGAACCTGTCATTCGATAGAGCATCAAAAAATATACTAAGAGTTTTAATTTCATCTAAAAATAAAGTTGCGAACCTTCTGAACCTTAGCCCTGAGCTTCTGATTTTCCTGCTCGGCTCTGATGACGTCCGAGCGTAAGGAAGCAATTTCCAGGTCTTGATGGACTCCCTAAATGGCAAGATTTTTATTAACTGATGAAAAATAAGAAATTAACTCAATACATCTCAGAAAAAAGCTTACCTTCAATAAGTCGTCAAGCTGATTCTGAAGTGTAGGCTCGGGCGGTGACGGACAAGGAACTACAGGCAAAGTCCCGGAATCGTAGGGTTCCGGCGCATATTGGGGTACCGTGTATTGGGCCACTTCGTACTGCGGCCCCGCATACTGTGGCTCCACGAACTGCGGCCCGTAAGATGCCTCGTTTTGCATCATCATCTAGATTTACCCAAGATAAAATTATCAGTACTCCAAGTCCCTGAATATATTCCGGAAACCCACCTCGTCTTGAGCTCCCAGCATCTGATGTTCTATCAGCCAGTGCTCATCGAAGACGCTGAAATATTTGAAATCGACTGAAACCAAGGTTCGCCTACCGCTTACAACTCTCCGGTTTTCTTTTCACATTGGCGTAGATCTTCTTGATCTGATCCAGGTCAAGCTGGCCGAGTTCATCGGCGTACCTGGAGTTTGTCTACAAAAATAGGATGTTGAAAATCTGGAAAAAACCTTGTCCGTGATATGTTGCCACATCGAAAGTCGCTCCGCGTTGCTGCATCGACTTCGAGAGTTTAGCCTTGAAAATCAAAGGCTACTTCACGTTAGAAAAAAAATACATTACTGCCGCGGCGTCTTCATCTCCCAGCCGTTTCAGCCAATGCTTGGCCAGCGAAAAGACAACGGCAACGCGCTGCTTTCTAAAGAAACCTAATCCCTTATTTCTTCGGCCCTTGCTAGATTATGTTAGAAATTTTCTATGTTTTTTAAAAATTTCTTTGGGAAGAAAGTACATTATTATTAGAAAATGGAATAAAATAAACAACCTCAACTGAAGCCGCAGCTTCCGATCGGATCGATGGCCCTCCATCTTGGCTGTGAATGAAAGAGCGCGAGGAGGAGCCGGTGGGTGGGCACATCGAAGGCTCGTGATCGGGGCACCTACCCAGCCGGGCTCTCAAAAAACATCGATATTCCAATCCGGGCCCACAAGCAGGGCAGCATAGGCAATGAGAAATGCAGATTCACCGGGCACCAGGGCGCTAGGGTATTGCACTTGGCAAAATCGATCCCAATGTGGTGTTGCTCAGAAAATTTGAAAACAGGGTGGAGCTGCGCGTCTGAAAAATATGAGAAATCCCGTAAAGCGCGAGCTCTACGAAGTTAGGTGTTAGGTGCAAGGTGTAGGTGTTTTGCATGTTGGCAGGCATCTGATTTTCAGGAGCGCATAGTTGAAAAGGCAATTACGAGCGCGTAACAGAGCCTGGTTTACGAGATTTGAAGTTTCAAATCGGCTTGTCGTGCAGGGGACTTAATCAATCTTTTCACGAGATTCGTATTTATTTTCTGATTAGCTTATTATTATAATTTATTTATTTATCATCGAAATGCGTACATTGCTTCTCACCGTGTGTTTTCAGAAAATTTATACTTGCACCATTTGGTGGGGCCAAGCAGTTGGTCCAATATCGCTAAAGCATGCAGCTGACAGCTCGGCTAGTCGAAAGCAGGATTGCGCAGGGTCACCTGGGTCTCCCATGGATGTTCTCTAAACGTCCGACAGGTTTTCCGAGCTTTCAGACCTGGGTTAACATGATGATTTTTGCATGTTGTCCGTGGAGGTCTTTTATAGGATTTTCTGTAGCAAGATCAGCCCTAGTCATCCACACGCCCGCAAAAAAAAAAACAGGATCTCGATTTCGCCGGGGAACCTCTATCGAAAACCCTCTATTCATATGTGGCACTCGCGTCCCACATACTCGACACTCTCTACCCCTGAGGTAGTTTTGAGTGCCATCTCCTTTCTCGACACCACCCACGTAAATAGGTGTATTTCGGAGTCGCAAATTGGGGGCGTTGGCCTCGACTCCGGTCGATTACCGGCTTTGTTGTTTTTCCTCTCGTGGCAACTCGAGAGTGGGGGACGCCCATTTCTTGGCTGGTATTTTTCATGGTTCTCTCTCTCTCTCTCGCCATTCAAAATCCTTGCGCGCTGTTTTTGGCCGCGGATATTGATCAGATGACGGATTATGCTATGTTTTCTCATGATTTGCCAGGAATTCGTTCAGGTTTATAAGTGTTATTAATGCTATTATTAGCATTGAAAATAAATTGTCCAATTATTAACGCTGACGGTTTCTAAGAAGTCTTGTTTGGCTTTTTGTTTACCCTTAACATTTTTTTGCTTTTTCTGGCATTTTGGAATTTACGGAGGATTCAGGGAGTTTCGTTTCAGATGATTTTCCACTTCCTACTGCTTGTCCTCACACAAGCCTCTCCGCTTCCAGAAAATCCAGCGCGCCAAAAGCGCGACCTGGATTTGGGCTTGAGTAAGTCATAAATTGAAAACCACCAGCTCATTTATCTTTTTTTCAGAAATGAAAGGACCGCTGGAAATCACATTTAACGAAAAGGACTCGATAATCCAAAAATTCCTATCTGAAATCGGGGAAGCGCTGACCGACTTTCGGCAAAACATGACTGATTTTACGAATATGGATGCGAAGGTAATAAAGCTTTTTAACTATGTTTAAGCTCTTAGAACTTCTAAGACACTGACTTTCAGCCAGAACCGCTTTTTGACAAAATCCCACCGATGTTCCTGTGCGATTTTTGCAAGGCGACGATCAACAAGTTGAAGCAGCAACAACGGGCAGATGGGGCTGATTTTGAAAAAGTACAGTTAATAATATTCCAGTTATGTTCTTTTTAGAAGCAAAAAGAAGAGTGCGCAAATGCTAGCAAGGACGATCAACAAAAATGTGGGCTGATCAATCAGGTAGAAAAATTTCGAAGTAGGCTTTCCAAGGTTAGGATCTTATAAACACTGATCTATTTATCTAATTAAACCGGCAAGATCTCAATTTACGTGTTAGATACGCTACCCTTTCTACTCTTTTAGGTGAACCTCAACCGACTACAAACCGATCCCGTCGAGACAATTTGCATCGAGGAGAAGCTCTGTTCGCCAGGGTCGATTGACGTTACAGAAGTAGAGGACGATATTTTTGCCGTAGAGAAGGCTAACGACACAGTTTCTGATGGTGGCCCTTATTAATTGCAACGCTTGTTAATCCTAATTCTAATGGTGCTATTTCCATTCATTTGATCTTATGCCTAACCGATTATTTCCTCACCTTACGGTCTCTTCTCTTTTTCTGATACTGTTTAAAACGTTGCGGTCTCTTTTTCTTATTGTCTCATTTCATATACCTTCTTAGTTCGATAAATCCTACTGACAATTCAGACTAATCGCTCCGAAAATAACAATTAGCACAACTATCAGAATTTGACCTGTATCCGAAACATCTAATCTCGCAAAAAGCAACTAATTGAAAACCATCTTTCGAGGTTATAACTTTGTGACTTTTAAATTAAAGGTATAGTTAATGGCATGACATTAACATTTTGAGAATATGAGACATACCAATCAACTGCTTTTAAGACCTAATTTTATGTGTCTCATAATCTCAATCTGTTGATGGCATGCAACCAGGATTGCAGTTACCCACAATTTTTCCAATGCCATTCTAATCCTGCTAATCCACAACAATTTCCAAACACTAAAATATTAAATCTAAACCAATTTTAGGCCAAGAAAATAATCGCTCTCCTCAACCGAGACCCGAGCAAAGGCAGGCTAATCGAATTGTATTTTTCAGTTTTTCTAGGTCCCCGCCATTTCAACGCTGTCGCCGATATTCCCGTGGGTTTTCAGATGATTGTCGGGTGACTTTTAATCGTAATAAATTTATTCCGAGACTGTACATACATAATAATAAAATAAAACAACAGACACGACTTGGATGCGGCGAGATACGGTTTTTGGGTAGCGGGTACACGAAGCGGCGCGCGGCTTGGATGGGGTCAGGGGTCCCGTATGCGATCGACTACAAGCTTTAAAAACATACTACAAAATATGAACTACAGACAATAAAACGGCAATAAAACGTTGGCACGACTAGGGTTTGGAAGGGAGATCAATTTTTGGCACTCACATGAACTCGCGGTGGAATATGACGGTCCAAGCTATAAGCTACGAATTTTCAGGGGTAAGGCACATTTTGGTGGGTCGGGAGAGAATATAGAACAAAAAGCAAGGTACTATACTATTACAAGACATAGAATTGATGTAAATGCGTAAAAACCGGAAAAATTCACTCGATGCCACCCTGTATCCGGTGCCACATGCAGACGGGCAGGCTGTGTTTGCGCACCATCTAAAGCGATGATTTTAACCTTACTTTGAGAGATTTTCAGAGCGAAATTGTTTCGATGGATTCCTATGAATGCTCCAGACATTATATATAATTTTGTAGGTTATTAATACATACCTGGAGCCAGTGCGATTGGCCGGTACCTCCCGAGAGCCGCCCAATAACGCAGTGGCCGATAGAGACCGGACCGTCGGTCGAGTTGTCAAAGACCTTAAATAGATGGACATTAGGATCTACTCTATTAATTCTTATGATCCTTTTAAAATCTTTATGTATCGTACTACAATACCTCAATGACAATATGCGCCTTGTCAAGCTTCGTGGGTGGCACATGGAAGAGGAATGACTCGGAAAAGGCGGCGTCTCCGGAAGTCGAAGACAAGGACGAGGAGACAGAAGAAGAAGATGGTTTCGCGGAGCTGCAAATAGATAAAAGTTGATTTCATGTAATCTTCGTACTCGATAGATGACGTGATTCCCACGGACGGGTCGACAGTTGTCTGCTTCTGCTCTACCAAGCGTCGACCGTCGAAAAGCATGATTCGGGCGAAAGGGGCTTAAATATAGTCATTTTATCCATGTATTAAATTAAAATAATAAGTTCATGGAATCCACTTCAGTCCGAAAAACATACAAGTATTATACGGCAGCATTCTCGCCTTCTTGACCGTCACCGTCACGAATTGGACGAGTGGAGCGTATGTGAGAATGATAAGGAGTTCGCGGCTGGTGTACGCGTTCTGGAACATCGAAATTTAGCTACATTAACATCCTATAACCGTACGCAAGATCATAAAACTTCAAAAAATACCTTGTTGGCATTGTAGGCCATTTGGAACTCGAGCTCGTCGTGCTCGTTTGAAGTACGCGCGAGACGTTCGGGTAGCGCTTCTTCTTCGGCCTAAAACAATCTGGTTTTAGCGTCTCATGATAAAACTCGAGTTGAAGACAAGGTACTACAACGTCCTAAAACGCACCTGAAGCACCGTATCCTCGAAATCACACTCAAAGAACGTTCGATCAGCTGGATCCTCGTTTGCCAAGAATTTGGTAAGCGCGTCCTTGTGCGGGGCCACCTTTTCTTCTTTTAGTTCTGAAACATGATATTCAAATTCCCAGATTAAGTATATTTGCAAACTTGAAAACTCATTAGTTTTTCGGAAACTTTTTTTTCTTTCGGAAACCCCTTGCAAAATCCCCCGAAATCCTCTAAAACCTTACCTCCATGCCTATCACCCCATTCTCGGTGTTCATGTTTGGCTGGTCGACCATGCTTTGTGCCATTTGGCCGCGGATCCCTAAAGTTACGGTAGTTAACCCGAATTTCCAAATACCTATGCGTCCTCGAGGCTCTCGCCGCAGGAGCGGGCTGGTTTTTTCCGGCCTTGTTGAAGTTCTTCGGGCCCCATCCGGATGACGGGTCGGTTCCGGCCTGGGAGGCTTGCTAAATGGCACCCTTGTACCGCAACGAAGACTTTTAATACCGGCTTGTGTAGTTGGACAGCCTTGTGGGGGAGGTTGACGAACGATTGGTACTCGAAGAAGTGCTTGGCGATGAAGTTCATTCCCTAAAAATTTGACGATATTTTGGGGTTATCAGGGTTACGGTGTTACTTTTATAATTAGCTGGTTTTATTTTTAAGATCTTTGTCATTATTTTTATGACGCAAAAATTTACAGACGTTGCAGTCAGGCATGGACACAATTCTATTTCTCTCTCTCACTCTCTCGCTCTCACTCTTTCTCTCTCTCGCTGGCTGGCTGAAGAGGCATGAAAGTTCTATTTTCTTCCGACCCCCTCAACGCACTAATGAATGCGGACGGGTGCGTGGATTTTGAAAAGCCGCTCCCCCTTTTTCCAACAATAGAAGCATTTTCAATTATTCATCATGTCTAAAACGGACGTGTGGCTGGGGTTCTAGCAGTTTTTTGTGGACACCTTTTCGAGTTTCATGTCGTAATCAGTACGATTTAGTGAGTGACGGTAAACTATAGATTTTGCAAACCACTTCTTCCACTGACTCGATGGTCACTACCGCGAGGATCTTCTTCACTGCGAGACGGGGTGAGGGATAGGGAGTGACGGACGGGTCGCCGGGGTTGAGGGGCATCCCGGGTATGTTTCTTAGGCCTCCACCAGAATACTGATGACAGGGAGGAGACCATACAGCTTGACTCTTCCATTACGGTCGGAGTGGCTGTATGGCTGTCATTAGGCCATGAACAGGTAAAGATCAGGAGCGCGAGACAGAGAGAGAGAGAGAGAGAGAGAGAGAGAGAGAGAGCAAGAGAGAAATCGAAGGTCTGAATTTTTGGAAACTCGATCGTGAGATCGGCAGAAGCCGAGAGAGGCAGGGACAGAGCGCGATACAGACAGAGATAGCTAGACAGAGAGAAAAATAGAGCGGGAGGAGAGAGAGAGAGAGAGAGAGAGAGAGAGAGCGAGAGCGAGAGGGTGAGCGAGTGGGAGATATCTTGCTTTATAACCAAAGAGCTAGAGGTAGAGCAAAAGAAAAAATTTGCGCTGTCGCGCTCCCTTGAAAACACATCAGAAACCCAGATTTTCGAGGCAAAAAACCAACAAAAATTAATAGCCCCGAAAGCCGAATGTGAAACGGTGGTAGCTGGTTGCTGAGTGTTGGTTCAGCCCAAAAGAAGGGGAAGGAGGCAAACGATCCATTATTCTTCGAACGACATGGCCACACATCTCCTTGGGCCCTTCTATAGACTCTCCCCCGCCGCTACACGACAATCTGCCGAAAGCCTGCCCGGCGGTGCCATTTTTGGGCTCCCCCCGCATTCCGACATTGGCCTTCTTTCCCCGGGCGGCTAGCGGAATTTCCCGCGCCATAAGCCGTGGCGTGTTGAAAGGCAAGAGTTTGGCGGCGCGGCGTTGGATTAGGGTGTTTATTTTAGAGGCCGAAATTGGTTTGAAAACTAGGGAAAAATGACTTTTCATAACTTAAAAAATTTCTAAAAACCCTAAACAATCAAAACTAAAACTTCGAGCAGAAAAGACCAATATATAACTTCTTGGTTAAATAAATTATTAGCTACTTTTAAAGGTTTCAGAAATCTTCAAAAACCAGAACAAGCTGCTAAAAATAAAATTTTAACGTGTTTTAAAATCATACAAAGATTCAGGAGCGGTATGTTGGTAGTCCAATTGTTGTAAAACTTCAAAAAATTCATGAATATGGCTCTAAAAATAGTAGTTTTCAACTGGAAAGAACGAAAGCATTTGTTAGGACATTGAAGCTTTTCAGCTTGGAATTTTTGAAGTTTTCGAAGCCTAGAACCCTTCAAAACCGTGTTAAAAACAGCTGTCTGGGTGGGCTAGCGTATGGAAGCGGAGCAGCGTAAACCGGGGGTTGCTGCTAGAGGCTGGGAAAGCGGGTAGTCGATGAATATTTTAGACAAACGACGACGCCTCCGAGACGCTCCCCCCTAACAGCCCACAACGCTGCCCAAGGAAGGGCCAAAAAAAGCCCTCTTTTTTAATCCTAGTGCTCTGCAAAGCCGTTATGAGCCGGGTGATGGAAATTAAAGACGGTCCTGTGGCGCGCGAAGTTCCATTCTCGATTGAGTTTTTTGAGCTCGAGGTTATTTATGGCTTCGAAGGGAAGCTAGCAGAGGTTGTGAAGGAATCCTAACGGAAAAAAGAGCAAGCTGGCAGAGATTCGTTGCACATTTTTTTGCGGAAATTATGCACTGGATAATAAAAGATACTAAAAGTGTCACGAAAACTTGGTTATAAAGAACAGGCAAGCTAGCAGAGATCACTTAGAAACTTCATAAAAATTCCTCGATATCATTAATGCGCAAATCAGCCAGGATACGGCTAGGAAACTAGCGGCAACCTTAAAAATGCCTTCCCTTTTCCGCCATTGCTGCAAAAAAAACCCATGAAAAATTCACCACATCCAAAAAATTCCAGGGTAAGTGATGCTAGGGTTACGGTAGCTCAAGTTCTGAGTTTTTAAGGATTTTTCAAAAAACTAATTATTAAATTCTTCAAAGTACCGCCTTCTGGAGCCCCAGTTTAAAGCGAAAATGGCAATTTGTTGGAAAAACAACCAAGAGTCGTCATTTTTTCCAGGGATGGAAATCGAGAAGCTTTCCGGGCAGCGGGGGAGGAGATGGAAAAGGAGAAGGAGCAGCAGCACCGACCCCGGGGTCTCAAGCAAACTTCGTTATGGTGTTGGGCGGTCGGCAGAAGGCCGTCCTCCCCCAATTTCCCTTTGAGTCAGAGAAAAAACCGGAGACGCAGAATCCGCTCGCTGGGGGCAAGTTTTGAGAGACCCGGATGCGCTTCTCCCCCCTCTGGGGGTGTCGCCTCCAATCAAAACCATTGAATTTGGGATGGGGCGCTGGGCTTCTCCCTTTCCGGTGGTGTGCGGGTTCGGTCGCAAAGTTGATTTCGGCCCGAGGCTGTGTTTGGAGCCCGGTTCGCGGGGGAAACGTGATTGTTTCGGCGCGAGGAATTCGAGGTGTGCAAATAAAAAAAGGAGCAAGAGGCTAGGGTAAGGCTAGAAAGTGGTGCAAATTCCTTAAGGATCTCTGCTAGTACCCCTTGTTAATCATTTTTACTACTGAATCTAGCCGCTTAAACAGCCGATAAAAGGTTTCTGCCTATGAATCCCTGCTAACATGCCCTTTTTATTCTTTAGAATCCTCGGCTCTGAATTTTGCCCTGTTCAGTGATGATCTGCTGGTTCTTTGGTCTACGTTTTAGAACACGGAACCACCAAATTTTCTCCATGAATCCTTGCTAGCATGCCTCAAAAAGCGCCCTACAAAACGCAACGCAACACGCTGTTGTAAAAAGGGCATAGCGGATTACGCGATCGAAAGGCAACGTCTTGCACGATGATTGTTGCTTTTAGGAGAATGAGGCTGTTAAAGTATACTAGAAAGTCAAGGCCGATTCCCACTTCATAAAACCCGAAAAACGGCTGCCCGGCCAAGCCCATTTGGATGATAGATCTATTTGGCTTTCAGAGCCGGGGGCATGACATCCAACTCTCAAGGGGGTCGAGTCGGATGATGGGCTCCGGCAGTTCGCGAGTTTTTGACCCCGGAAGAGGGGCCTCCTTTTTTGATCTGATGATGTTGGCTGATAGTCCACAATGGGGCTGCTACTTCCGTATGCATGTGTACGCTAGAGTACTCGGCACGACATTGGGAGTGAGGCGTAATTTTCGAATAGCTTTCTGATGTGAGTGACTGACAGACGGATTCTGATGTAAAAACGCATTTTTTACCTAATGAAGAATCTTAGGCACGTTGCGTGCGCGGCGCGGCCGCTGCTGTGCCTACACGCAACGCGCACGCGACGCTCAAACAGACTTTTAGGCACCTTTAAGACCCAAAAAACCACAAAAACCAACCTCTGGACTCGGCGGCTCGTCCAAGTTGAGTCGATTCAGGTAGGCGCCAAGTCGCTCGGAGATGTGCAGCAGTGAGAGCTCGGTTTGGGCCGTCGACGATACGCTTTTTGAGTGGTCCGAGCCGGAGCCCCTGAAAAAAATAGCACTGACTTTTTATTTTCTGGGGTCCGAACTCGAGTCTAGGATTTAGAAATGCAGCGGGACTCCGTAAGCGCGTCGCGGCTGCCTTGCGGCCTCATTTTGTCTGGTACTTTTCTAGCTTTTTGTAGGAACATGCAACGGACAGTACGCCGGCTCTCTCTCTCTCTCTCTCTCACTCTCGCTCTGTCCTCACCTGGAGCTCTGTTCCCGGTCCTCGTCAAGATCTTTCGGCAACCCGAGTGAAAAGTTCGACGGCGACTCACAGACCTCTTCCGAGCATTCCGGGTCGACCTCTGAAAAACGTCTGGGTTAGGCACAAACGGAAGCGCTTTTTCGAGGGAACACCACATGGATGCTTCAGCGTTTGAAAGGAACCCGACAAATTGGGTTCGCCTGGTCGGCTGGGTGGTCAATAGATTTTTTTCTGAGAATCGGTTTTTGAAGCTGGGTTCGAGGTTGTTATGGCTAAAGGGGATGGGAAGAGTGGGAAAAACATGAAAACAAAAAAAATGCAGGGTTTAAAATCAGATAAATTCCAAGACCGCGGAAAAATCCTACGGTAGCTAAATCCTACACAAAAAAAATGTCGCAGCCTCTCTCTCTAGCTCTCTCGCTCTTTCTCTCTCGCTCCGTCTCTCTCTCACTCTTGCTTTCTCACTATGTCTCTGTCACTCTCTCGCACTCTTTCTCTCTCTCGTTCTCTCTCCCGTCCTCTCTCTCGCCTAAATTACGATCCGCTGCTCCAAACTTAATATTAAAACCGGAAACTATAAGCAACCCACTCCCCACCCAGATGTTGTCAGAAAAATAAGTTCCATCCCAACTTGACGACTGGGTTTTGGTCGGCTTCTGCCCCCGGTGGGACCCGCGTATTCCTCAAAAGGCTAAGCCTCGACCGCAAGTTCGGGAGCCAGACCCTAGGGCCACCCCTTAATCTGCCCATGACTGATGGCTGGGCCTTAACGGGGGTGGGACATCAATGAATTTTCGGGTTCAGGCCAGGCAAAAAATGGGGGTGAGTTATGGTGGGTACCTATGCAGGGGTGGCTTCAGGAAATTTTTAAGGGGGTTGGTCGTCAGGGTTGGTCGAGGATGGGAAAATTTTGGTTTGGTCTTAAGCTTGTTAGGCTTAGGTGCAGACTCAGATTGGGCTTAGCTTAGGCTTAGGGTTTAGGTAGGCTTCGGCTTAGGTTTATCTTACAAGAGATTTTTGGTGCGCCGGATGCAAATAAACGTTTATGCTTGGAAAAACCGCGCAAAGTTTTGGGCGCAAACGATGAAAAACGACGAAAACTACTTGAACCTTAGTTCATGGATAAACTATCGTAAGGCAGGCTAGCAGAGATCCTCTAGGAAAGCCCGAAAGCTCAGAAACCTCGAAAACATGGCGACCAAACTGTCTGACCCACCCGCAGATGCCAATTAGCCGCCTCCGTGAAACCCCAGCGGACCCCTAAGAAAGTGTCCAATTCCCCGACTCCACCTTACTCACCCTACCAAACCTCAGATTCCTCAATTTTCGCGATTTTTTCCGGGTAAAGGGCCCAAAGATGTGCCCTCTAAGGGCCCAAGGGTCCATTGGATCCAAGCGGAATCTGTGCCTCAAGATCTTTGACGTTTTTTGAGGGGGTCAACGCGTGGAAGGCAATTTCCCGTTGGTGAAAGTTGAGCGGTGTGATGGTTGGTGGTGGGGCGAGGGGCCATGGTGGAGAGGTCGCATTTTAATGAGATGGAGGGGAGAGGACCCTCAATTTCGCGGCCATTATCCCCGAGGACGAGCATCAGGAATTCGGCGAAGTTTGGGAGCACCGAACTTTTGAACCCGGGACACGTACTAAAGCTTCTAAATAAAGGAGTGGCTTTTGGGAATCGATTATGAAATGTAATCTTGGGAATCGTTAAGGTCGTTAAGGTAGACGGACTACGGTAGCTCGTTCCAAGGATCTCTGGGATATAACGATTACTACATAAAATTCATCGTCGTCAGGATTTTGAGAGAACGAAATGTAATGTCAGATATAGCTCGATAGAAACTGTTTATGACAATGAATTAGGAATATGACTCAAGATGAGGCGGCGGTTACGGTATTGCATTTCGGGTATTTTCGCGGTACGGAACGGTAGCAAATTCGATTGGATTTAGGTGTAGAATGGACAAATTACGCTATGTAACAAAACCTATACCAAATTTTAACCAATTATACTAGTTCAAAGCCTAACAAATTAGTTATAACAACCATAAATAATGGCTTGCAAGCCCCATCTCCAAGCTATTTTTGACAACCTAATCAACCGAGCGCTCCGGAAGCCTATAGAAAGTTGCGAGGCCCGCCGGGGGCAAATAGGCGCGAAGGTCAAAACAGACCGAAAAGAGGGGTAGATGAGGAAGGCGCGTGTTGCGGATCAGATGAAAAGCCGAGTCTCATCCCCCGCTGTGTGTCTCGCCATACACATCCAATTAGACGAATGAGCAGACAGACACATACGGCATAGAAAGCATATGAGGAGAAGCTCTACCCGCGACTTGACCCGAAAATATCATCCAGAAGCGCTAGTTTTTTTTTAAGGAAAATATAAGATCAACCAGAAAAGCTTTCTAGAGATTTTTTCAGATTTTAGAGGTTGAATTCTTGCTGTCACGATCAGTTAAAAGGGCTTAGAAAGTGCGGAAGTCGACCCCTTATCCTACTAGGCCTCGACAACTGCCTTTTTACAGGTAACACAAGCCATTAAGGAATTCGCAAAAATATATGCCAGCGTCCTGAATTATCATTTTAATTCGAGCAAAGCCCATTCCCAATGTGCACCCAAAATTGCAGCCCTGCCGAAAAAAGCGTGAAAACGCGCGCGGATCCGTGCAGCTTATCCCCCAGCCCTGAAGCGGCGTCTCGGGTTACCCCGTTTCGCACGAGGGACCAGGGCCAAACCCCACCAGGCTCCCGCAACGACAATCCAATCATCCAATTAGACCCATTCCCCCTTGTCGGCGAATGGAGAAACACAGCAAAAACCTATTTGTTTTTAGTGGACAAATTTCTTCAGGTGCTCTCTAGTGTCAGTCCGGTTAATCCAATCATCTCGTGAACTTGCGCGATAAATAGAATTTTAGGAAAATTCGTTAAGAAATCGCGCCAAGTCATTAAAGATCTTATCGAGAGTTAGAACGTCCCCCACACCCTGATGGGCAAAAATTCTATTTGAAATCCTGTTTTGCTTAAAAATTTGCATCAGCTTGATCTTACGCTTATTCTTGGCGAAAAGTGTGCTGCTGGAAAAGCTTGTAGGGACTTTTGCGGATAAGACGCGTTTGTATGATTTTGACATCTTGCCAAAATTGTGATCCAAGTTTGCTTGAAATTTCTACTTCCCAATTCCATTAAATTCCTCGTTCAAAAAATCAAGTTCGTTACGAACCATTTCTGGAGAGTGGCAAGTAGTGGTCGAGCAGCAGCGTGGAGGAGTCATCGTAATCGCAGAGGTCTTCTGTCGCTGCCATTGAGGCGATTGAGAGGATGTCTAAAGTATTGAATTTAGTATGGCTCTGAAAAAGCATTAAGGGTTAGGCTTAGATAGGCTAAAGCCTCGGTTTCGCCTTGGCTTCGGCTTGTGCTTAGGCGTGAAATGAGGCTTAAGCTCAGGTTTAGCTTATCCTTAAACCCTCTTCAGCACCGAAAGATTTGTCGAAATTCACAAACCTTCCATCGGCGGACAATGCATATCTGCCGTCACATCAAATGGTCGCCGCCCGGAGTCGTGCGAAACGCTACTGAAAAACTCAGATTGTGAACTAGGTATCTCCTTCTTACAGGCTCTTGTCATGCAGTCTCCTCAACATTGCACATTTGCTCGGCTCGACGAACGCCGCAGACAGCTCGCTGAACGACTCGGCGCTGAAAAAGAAAGGATAGAAAATGGGGAATACGGTAGAAGGGTGCGTTTTTGAAAGGACAGCGTGGGGTGGGAAGCTGGAAGGATATCTAGATATGGACAGGACAAACCCCTTCTTAGTCAGTTAGTAAACAAATTTCGAAGTAAAATTTTAAGCCGCAGCTCTTAGAAAAATTAGCTTCATTTGTATTAATTTAAGAAATTTATCAAAACTTAAAATTGATAAAATTATGGTAAGCTTTCTAGGGTATTTTGCCCGTTATGCTAATTTGTCGAAGTTACTCTTCGAAGTATGTTTGAATTAGATGATCATTATGTAACTAATTTAATGCTATCATTAATAAAGCATAGATCTTTTTAGCTAATCCGATAAAAATTCTTTCAAATTAAATTTATTAGTAGTATAAAAACTAAATTAAAAACATTTCAACGGCTTCCAGCATTTAAAAAGATCGGTGAATTAAATTTTACAAATTCTGGAGATCCGCTAATTTTTAGTATAGACCAGGGTTGAAAAACCGCTTCGCGGCTTTTCAACCCTGGCCCCGTCTTTTCCAATGATATTCTTGACTTTGCATCATCTTCCCGGATTCGGATGACGAAAATGAAAAATGCTTTTGCCGTCCCTTTATATAGGCTACCGCGACTTCCGGTGCAAGCTAATTTTTTCCTAACAAATTGGGGTGTCCGATTTTCCATGAAAAACTTAATTTTAATGTCGAAAACATCATATTTTGTAAGATCTGATCAGTGTGCAGTCATCTCCAGCCCATTACGCACCTAATGACGTATCGAACATACCCTTAAGTACTTCCCCTCTTGAGATACTACTGGAACACGCTGACGGAAGTTGCATGCAAATGCACACACACACACAGACACTATTTTTTTATATATAGTAGGATTTTTGTTCGAAACAGTTCAGAAAAAAGCATCTTTCCAAGCTTTTTCGATCGTAAAATGTTTAGATCTAGCAAGGCTCTTAAAAGTTAAGTATATTGTGAAAGTAAGATGCTAAAAATTTAATTAATTTTACGTAAATCAAATTCTAGCTTTCTCGCAGTATCCAAAGCATGCAAAAATCGGCACCTCGTCCGGGACGACACTCGATGCACCATTACAGTAATATATTCCCTGCCAGTAATCCAAGAAAACACACTTCATTTATTTCTCTGTTTTGTTCTACCATATGCCCATCAGTGTATAGTAGTGTAGTGTACAGTTCGCCAATTTATTACTTGTTGCACACAACAAAAATCGGGCCAGGAATTTCATTGGATTCAAATTTGCTCATAAATCGATGGATTTATTGTTAGTGACGGTCACGGTCAGGGGGATATTTGTCATTTTTGTATGGTTTTTTGGCTACCAATTTTGGGCTACCCATAGTCGCAATTTGTTGTGGTTTGTAGTGACGGTTAGAAAAATCGGTTCAAAAACTCGAAAATGCAAATTATTGGAAAAATCGAATTTTTGTGGAGAACCAGCTGCTGCGGTTTGGCACTCTGTAGCTTGTAGTAAAGCGGACTTTTCAGAGATTTGTGTTTCAACTGTACAGATTTTGGGGTGCGGAATTTTGGGATTACGGTATGTAAATTTTTTTTAGCCAGATGGTACTCAAATTTAAGGCAAAAAGGTTACGGTAAAGCTAGGAACAATTTTAAATTTTTGGAGGCAAAGGATTCGGCTTAAGCTCAGGCTTAGGCTTAGGCTTAGATCTAGGCTTAAGCCGCCTGGCTTCAAAATCTACATAATCCCAAAAATCCGCAGCCCCATCTTTCTACGGAAAGGACAAGTGTGTTGTGTGCGGGTTGCAGGAAAACAGGAATCCAAAACAAAACCATAAAAATTCGCGGAAGCGCATTACATGGCGATGGTGGCGCGTGGGCGATGGCTGGACGGGGTGGTGGAGGAGCCGTTGGTAGAGGAGGTGGTAGCTTCTTGCAGACGTCGGCGTTCCACCTCGATGGCCCGGCGGAGGAGACGGCGTTCGAGGAGGCAGTCGGCTGCTGGAAATGAGGGGTAATCGGTTTAAGGCAAGGCTTAGGCTTAGGTTGAGCTTAGGCTTAGGCTTAGGCTCAGGCTTAGGCTTATGCTTAGGCTTAGGCTTAGGCTTAGGCTTAGGCTTAGGCTTAGGCTTAGGCTTAGGCTCAGGTTTAGGTTTAGGCTTAGGCTTAGGCTCAGGTTTAGGTTTAGGCTTAGGCTTAGGCTTAGGCTTAGGCTTAGGCTTAGGCTTAGGCTTAGGCTTAGGCTTAGGCTTAGGCTTAGGCTTAGGCTTAGGCTCAGGTTTAGGTTTAGGCTTAGGCTTAGGCTTAGGCTTAGGCTTAGGCTTAGGCTTAGGCTTAGGCTTAGGCTTAGGCTTAGGCTTAGGCTTAGGCTTAGGCTTAGGCTTAGGCTTAGGCTCAGGTTTAGGTTTAGGCTTAGGCTTAGGCTTAGGCTTAGGCTAGGCTTAAGCGTAGGCTTAGCCAGCAGAATTTTCCAGAAAGAATCGAACATGGTTGTACCTTTCTAGTCCCTTTAAATAAGCCCTTGGGGCGCGTAGACATTTTTTGAGCGCCAAAAAGCTGCTATGAGGCGCACTAACTAAGTCAAACACTTCGCCAAGTCTCGAAGACCAACCAGTAACCGGGCTGCTATTCCTCAGCATCCGCTCGGTGAACAGCTCGTCGTCGTCGGCGCCGTCTTCTTCGGAATCGGAGTGGCGATTTGGGAGCTCGCAGAGGCCGAGGAGGCATGGGCAAGAGGCTGAAAAACAAGTTTTTGAGCGTCAGAGGCTCCTAAAGCCTCTCTGCTAGCTTGCCCCATCGCTTGGATTTTTCGAGATAGGTAAGTCAGAATTGAGGCTTTTCGGGCCTATTACGTAGCAAAAACGGTCAATTTTTCCGCGGCGTTACTGCTTACACCCATCTTGACAAGTTAATGCTTTAGAGTCCAAGCTATTCCTGACCCAGACTTGTCCCTGTTTTTTCATAGTTTCCGAAATTCGAGCCGGCCTTGGATCACTCAACGTCCTGTGTGTAACTATCTTCTTTGACCTCAAACATATCCTGGACGTACATCCCTAAGGTCTCAAATTTCCGAGGCTACCCCCTCCCAAATGTCAACTGATGTTCCGCTGGAATGTTTTCGGACATGGAGCCAATAGGAAGAAGATTTACATCGTCAACATGTCCCTAATAGGCACTATCCATCGGGAGATTCGGGCATCCGTTCGTAGAATAATTGGTAAGACGAGACAGTGAGAGCGAGAGAGAAAGAGACAGAGAGAGTGAGAGAGAAAGCTCCCAAGTACGCCTATACTTTTATGGACCCATGGGAATACTTGCGTCCCCAAGAGAAGCACTACGGTAGCGGATGAATGGCAGATATCTGATGTCCTCTATTTTTCTGGCGCTAGGTAAATATTCTGAAATTTTACGCGTTGACGTTGGTTTCTGTCAAAAACAGCGATCAAAATCCCGAAAACTTAAAAAGAGCGCCAAAACCCACTGGTCCGAATTCGAAGCCGTTTCCGCTCCTGCCGATGGCTGTCCGGAATCGCATCACCGACCCGCTCTTCGAGCTGACCCTAAAAAGTTGTTAATGATAGAATATTTTCGGTATTCTGCTGCTACCTTCCTGATTGTCCGTATTTTCTAGGCATCCAAAAAGTGTAAAAAATTTACCTGGCTACCACGACCGCTGTCATTGGTGGTGGAGGGGGATTTTCGGGAGCGACCACCGCCTGGAACAAAATTTGATGAGGAGAACAGAAATATCTGGGAGAAATTTGAAAAATAAATGCCGACAATCGAAATACCGGCCCTCAAAATACCGACATCATGAAAAATAGAAGGACCCAACACTAACTTCGCCACCTCCAAGCGTTTCACTCCTTTCATTGTCGGTATTTCTGCATTCGAGATTTCGTTTGTCGGTATTTTAAACACAAGACTTTTAGGCTAGCCGGTATTTTAGTATCGTTTTGGTATAGGTTTTTACAAAAACCAACCGTTCCCATCATGAGCCAAATCCGCAGCGATAGTGTTCGAGCTCTGACGAGAGTCAAGTCGCTTTTCCTTCTTCCCAAAGATTCTAAAAATTAGCAAATATAAAGTAAGGAATATTTAAATTACTTTGCTTTGAGGGAAGCGAGCGCCTTTTTCGACGGGGATTGTGGCGGGGATTTGGCGGCTGGCGGGGAGCACGTGTCTAAAAACGGAGCTTTAGTGCTTCAGGAAAATTTTAGTGTTAATGCCCTTTTAAAATGCGAAAAAATGCCTTAAAATCACAAGTGACAGACAGTACCTCGATTGGTGCTCTCGCTGGCTGTCCTTTCACGGTGCATGTCAAAGCCGCTGTCGTTGAGTTGACGGTTTTGGAGTCTAAAAAATCGATTAAAAACTACCATAATCTGGTTAAAAAGCCGGCCAACATTTAAAAATACGGTAGTGCTACATTACTTCTATATTTTGCTACCGAATCCTTACTGATAGTTATCATAAATTTTAGGTTTTTACAAACTTTAAAAAATTCTCGAGTTAGTTCCAAATAATCCCTGGAAATTTCAAAATCCTTGTAAAATAAGCCTTTCTAATAAAATTTTTTAATCCATTTAAAATGCCTTAAATCTATTTTACGTTCACCCAATCCAGTTTTTCGTTACACTCCGCAGTGAACCCGATACCTGAGCGTTTGCAGGAGACTCATTCGACGCCGTCGCGGCGCCCCATAAAAGGAATTGCAGTAGGAGGAGCCGCCGGGCAGGACGTCATCCGCCACGTCCACTGTAATACACAATTATAGTCAGAAAACGGAGAAAATAATAAATTGAGGGTCCAGGCCAAGATTCAAACAATACCCGGGCTGAGGAGCGGGGGGAGGGGGGAATGGCACGCAAAATAAACTTTTTGTGAAAATATTATGAAGTTGTCTTCAATATTTTGGCTCTTTGCATTACCTTCATTTTTCAGTAGACCTTGGACCTGGGCTTGGCCTAGGCTTAAACTTCGGATCGGCCTCAGATTTAAGCTTCGGCTCAGGCTCCGGGCGAGGCTCTTAAGCTTAGGCATAGGCTTAGAGAGGCTTCCCCTTAGGTTTAGGCTTAGAGCGGCTAGTTCGAGTTCCTGCGTGAAATTAGCTTAAGCTTAGCCTGGATTTAACTAAATAGCTTAAATTTGGTCTACTCGGGCTCGGGCTTTTAGCTTTTCCCTTCCTTTTACTTGTTTTCCATGGTTTTTGAGCTTGATCTTCCTATCTCAAGTCCCCCATCCTTCCCCTCAAAATAGCAAGCCGCCTTAGATTTCCCCAACCTTTCCCCGATCAGCCCGGAAGTGCGTGGAATACGCCGGCCTTTTCTATGCCTTTTCGGGCCGCCCGACGCTTTTTAGAAAATGCTTTTCGCCGTCTGAACCGATGCTTTTTGCCGCGTCGGCTTCGCGTAAATTTTAGCGGGAAGCTTCCGCGTTTCAGGAGTTGTGTCCCCGACCCCCCAGGCCAAGATAAACGGTTTAAAAACTGGCTGGGCCGTTCTTGGGGGGGCCCATCGCACGGCCCGGGCGGGGCACATGACTTTTGGGGGTGTTGAAAAACGACTAGAAATCGTATAGCCTGTTGGGGGTTCGGTCTCTAGGGATTGGTCGAGATCTTGGAAACAGATTCCGGGGGTCAAGCTTGGCATAGAGGGCTGCTATTGAAGGTAATTTCGCTTTAAATATCGAATGCTAAATTTATATTTAGGTAGTTTAGGCTTAGGCTTCGGCAGCTCCGGCTTAATAGACTTGGCGTAGGCTTGGCTAGGCCTAGGCTGAGTTTTAGCCAGCGGACTTTAGCGTTTTTTGCGGGAGCCGTCCCTTTGCGTATTTTGTTTCCAAACAAATCCAAGCCATTACCCGGGCGGTTAGTATAATTTTTTTAAGGCTAAGAAATTTTGCATAAATTCGAATGATGTAACTTTATGCAAATTCCGAGCCTTCGAATCGTAAACACAAAAAAATCGGGTTAGTAAATGGGGATTTTCAGGGGGGAATCATTGCACACTGCTTACCCGGCTCTCGGCACCACTTTGCTTTAATGGGCAAAAGGACAGTATCGAAATTGATTGCTAAGAAATTTACCACTGGTCCCGCGGCGGGCGAGGCGTTCGCGGATCGGGACGTGTGGGACGAGAGGCGAGCAGAAAGGCTCTGGAAAAGTGGATTTAATAAAAAGGTTTATAAAATACATTATTTTTATCGCTTTCTAAAATGCGTTTTTATTTAAATTTTGATTTACCTAAATTAAACGGAGTATTTGAATTTTCAAGTTTTGAAGAATAGAATTTTTCAGTTTTTTACTTGATATTTTGCCATTGCCATTTGCCATTTTTGCGATATTCTTTTCATGTTATTTTTTCGAGGTTTTAGTGTACTTATTAATCAAAATTTCAATCTACCATTAAATTCGATTTTTACAACTTTCTGTCGTTAATTGCTTTTTGACGATTTGATTTTCTTTATTTACCGTAGTTTCTTAATTTTTCCAGGCAACCCGGAAATTTTTTCCCGTTCCCCCCAGTCGCTCTGTGTCTTTAAAGCAGACATGGCCAGTGGCCGCGGCCCGGCCGGCCCGCCGCATATGAAATTAGCATAAATCCCGTCCACCGCGGCCGTCTCCAAAAAAAGAGTCTGGCCGGCCGCGGCCGGCCGCGGCTGCACCATGGCGAAAATAATGACCTATTTTTAGGATTTCGAGTTGAATTTTACTGATTTGCATGATTTCTGAAAAGGAAAAAGGCAACGAGCAGTTCATTGCAAAAGCCGCGGCCGGCCGCGGCCGGCTGCGGCCCCAGGACGTTTTTGCGGCCCGGCCCGGCTGCGGCCGTGGGTAATTTTTGCGGCTTTGCGGCCAGCCCCGGCCGTGAAAAAAAAATTTGCATGCGGCTTCCGGTCGGCCGCGGCGGCCGTTTTGCCATGTCTGCTTTAAAGCTTTCCTAAAAATTTTTTGCGATTTTTTTGCGGGGTCCATCCGACCATCAGGCCGGGAACAATTAGTGAATCAGTCACGGAATGGGTCCGGTGGGTCGGGGGATGGGATTTCTAGCTGTTTCTGTGGGCTCGAAATGGCGTAGGGTTAGAGCCAATCGACAGGCAATGGGGCCCAGCTCTTAAGGGGACTCCGGGCGCGCGTTGCGTGTCGCGGCTGCGGCTAAATCCGTAAAACCTCTAAAAATCTATGCCTATCAAATCCAAGTTATGGCTTGCCGGTTCCTTTAAAACTCAAAAATTTTCGACTCTTAGTGTCCAGCCCCTAAGACCTAGATATTTTGCGGTGGTCAACATGTGGGCCCTAACGGCCCTTGAGGCCCACTAAGAAATGGGCCTCCCTCGGCGATTGGACCAATTATCGGGGGAGCGGGTGCACATCTGTGGGTGTATGTGTATGTAAGGACGTTTCCAGACGGAATGACGAGATTTTTCGGGGGAGGATGGGGCGCTTATTAGGGCGTTCAGCACCCACTTAAAAAAGCTGGTGCGCGGAGGATCGACGCGGAACTTTTTTGAGTTTGATGTAGGGTAGGGGTGAAGCCAATTTTCTTGGAAATTCTTGGGGGTGTCTGGGTGATGTAGAGGTGAGTAAGATGATCGAAAAACATGAAAATAAGCTTGATTAATGTTCTCAGAATGACAGAAAGTAACGCCGAACGTAACGGTTTTCGAAATAACAATTTTGGAAAATCCGAATTTCAAAAATCGATACTTTCGGGATTTCGGTTTCAAAATTCCGAATTTTTCGCAAATCGCAAAATCCAATGATACGAAATGGCACCCGTATTAAAATATTGACCTTATACTTATTTTTAAGACGGAACGCTTAACGCCTAAGAGCCCGAAAGCCTTAAAGTTTAAGGCTTTAATTCTTTAATTTTTGATTTCACGCTTGATATTGAATTTTGCAATCTAGTAAAAAATTATTACATAAATTCGACTTTTACAATTTTTAAAAATTTAATTATCTCCATCTAACCCTCGAGAAGTCTCCAGAAATTGACAGCGATCCCCGGGACCAACTTCTTCCCCCGAAGAGTTTCCATTTAATTGGACTCCCCCACTCAACACCCAGGCGATGGCCTTACCCCCAAGAACTCGTATTTCAACAAGATCCATTTGCAAAAGCCGAAGCCCTTCGCGTCGTCGCCGTAATTATCAGGTGTCGCGTAAAAGGCCGCGTTTTTTGAAAAAAAAAGAGGCCCTACTAGTGAAAATTGGGCTCAAAGGTCTCAGCGTTTTCTTGAGCTCCTATTCATCCGGCTGCTGCTCTGCTAATTTGGTTCAATGATCCGAATTTTTAGGTAGGGTGACTGAATTTTTCAGGGTCAAGGTATAGAGAAATTGTAAAATTTCTACGGCCAGCCATTAACAAAATTGAACGTCGCGGATTTGTGCTAAAATGTGACCTGTTTCGTTGATCTCCTTAGTGTAAAAGAAGTTATCTTCTGAGCCTTCAGTAGGCTAGGCATCGCCAGAATCGACCCCTCGGTCCGCTAGGTCTAGACAGCTACGCAAGCATCCAAAAACACTCAAAGAGCGCGTTTTTTTGACTTGTTCGGAGCTGTCGACACCTAGCCAACGAGGGGGTCGATTTTCACGCTTTCTAGTGCCTTTAAATATGCGAACAATTGCAAGATTCGAACCGGAGCGATTTTTAGGTTTAGACAGCTATACGACGCTCCAAAAGACGTTTTTCGACCTAGCAAACGCCCGCAAAACACAAGTGTCAAGAAAAAGAAAAACCCATTTTCCGCCGCCTTACCAACGACCGCCGGCGGTTCGACTGTTGACGTGATCGACGCGCGATGCTGGGCCAAATAGGCGGCCGGTGGAATAAGCGAAGCCCTGTGTTGCATATGCTTGGCCTTGCTCTTCTCGGCCTCGTCCATGAGGAGCCGGAAGACAATGTAGTCGTTCATCATAGTTTCGGAGGAGGTCTGCAGGAATACGGTAAAAACCGGCATACGAAAAAAGAGAGCATAAAGTAGCAAAAACAATTGGAAAACGTCTACGGTAAAAGTTCCATACTAAAATTTTTGCGCCTTTCAAAAGTCCACTTGGTAATATTTCACGCAATATTTGAATAATTCAACGTGACCGGGGATTAGATTACACCATATTTTGCCAAAGAAATCCGATATGAGAGCACCGATTTCCAGTCAGGAAGAGCCAGAAAAAGCGCAAACGGTCTCTGCTGGCTCGCCCCGGACCCTTAACCGAATAATTACCCTAATTTCCGGCTCAGGCCTTTGCCAATTCTCAAAAAAAAAAGCTGTCAAAAATCCCTTACCATCATTGCCTGTTTCCGGAGCATAGCTTCACAAACAAGTGAAATAGCGCACTTTTTCCGACGTTTTCAAGCAGTTCAGAATACTGAAGTAAGCAGAGACCCAAAACTCTTAGATCCCCACTAATATCCGGTTGTGCCCCTCAAAAAAAAGCGGTCAAACTAGATTCCCCTCCATTACGCCTATTGACGTCTTTACGCCCCAGGCAAATTGGATGTAGTCCCGAAATTGGGTTATAATCAAGGGCGGCTAAGCGGTGATTTGATAAATTGTCGGGTAGAAGCTTGTCGGCTGGGGTTTGAGGTCTGAGGAGTTTGAGCTTGAGATTGAGAACCTCGGCTCATGAGCGTTGCTAGGCGATCAGGGTCAGCAGCGTCTCAACTTATCACTTATTTATTTGCATAGATAAATGGAATCGTGTGGGAGGCGAGCGGGTGTTGAAATTGAGATGAGGTTGCGATGGATTCTGAGCCATGAAATATTTTTTAAGCAAAAAAAGTTGGCAGCTGGCAAACGAAATATCTGAACTATGGCGTGAAATTCAGAGTTTAGCGACTTAACAAAAAAATTAGCCTAGTAGCGGCGTCGATAGTTGCCTAGCGTAGCCCAAGACGAAACTACGTTGGGCTCCTTTGAATACCCCGATTCTGTGCGTGCTATACAAATTCATTTTTCTAGCGTAGCCCTTTGAAGCGTGTAAAATTGTCAAAACCCTGCAATTGTTCTCGGCTAATTAAAAAGACTATTTAAATTAAGCCTTAAAAAGTAATACTGAAATTATGGCGCGGTATAAATTAAAACTTCAAAAATCCTAACTTACTTGAGCTTTTTGAATGGCAAAACTACGCTCTTCCCTCGAAACCGGAAACACGAATTAACAATTCTCGCTTCTAAACCCTCGCCGCGACGCAATGCCTATTTTCGGCTCCCTTCAACTACCGGAATAGAGCTGGGCAGCCAGCGATTTTCCGGTCGAAAGGAGGGCCCGGGTCCCCTCAAAAAAGCAGAAAAGTAGCCGCTCAGATGGCCGGACCATGGCCGGAAGCAATGTTCGCATTTGGGTGCCCCAAAAAAAGCCGAATAATTCCGGTTCCAAAGCGCGTTTTTGGGGAGGTCGTCCTCCCCGTCCGTCCGTTCGATGTCGAATTGGATTTTCCGGCGGCCGGGACCTCCGCTCTGGGGCGCGTGTAAATATTGGAGGGGATCGAATTTCACAGCGCTGGTTGGGCGAAACGGCTTCTTCTTTTCCCTCTACTTTTTCTGGGCTTTTAGAAAGCCCAGGCGCCACTTTCGCGTGTCCCCCATCCCGTCGACGGGGAGCAGTTCAAAAATTGGAGGTGGTCGACGAACTTTTCTATTTTTTGGAGTTTGCGATGTTCTTGAGGGGGGTTTGGAAATTGAGACGTGACTCCCACACACGCTAGCCGCGGGGCTGACACGTTACTGGGGTCAAAATATTTGCTCCCGGCAACGAACGAATTTGAGAGCGACTTTTTTTGGTTTTTGGAAGGTCACAGGCCAAAAACGCGCTATTTAGACTACAGTAACCGAAAGACTACAGTAGGACCGCTTTGTAATCTATCGTATTTAGCCAGCCAGATCGTAAAAAGATTGGAAAATTAGGAAAATCGCGGAGTTTTAAGGAATAACCTTACTTTTTAGGAATTCTCGGAAAGTCGGTGTAGTCTAGTAATTTTTGCACCTAAGCCACAGTTTTCGTTTGTGGCAAAACACCTAGAACACCGGATCGTCGCGGAAAATTAAAAATTCTAAGTTCTTTCTGAGAATATAACAATAAAAAAATTCCGGCTAATAACTAACCTCAACAAGAAAAATGTTGAAAACCGCAATATACATCACTGAATCTCAAACAGCTATCAAAATTCTATTTTTATCAAAATCTGGAAACTCAAGGTATCCGATGCAAAAATGCACGTCAATAGAGCTCACAAGGGAACCACCTAAGGTCAAGGTGGCGTTTCGTTATGGGACCCAGCTTATTTTGTGCAGAATTTTTTGCTGATTTCGAATCCGCTTTTATTTTTTTGCTAAATAGCCCAATTTAAAAAGTTATAGCGTTTCAAAGTTCCATTTTTTCCCAAATTTTCGAACTTCAAAGTAATTTATCTTGCCTTTCCCGTCTGATTCCTCAAAAACGAATATCGCCATCGTATTCAGAAAAATTTTCTCTATCGAATGAACTATTTAACTCAAAATTGTTGAAAATTGAAAAAATCGACGATACTTGGTATGGACTTCGTTTTTTGTATGGGAAATGGTGAAAAATTGCCTATTTCACACCCCCGTAAGTGATCGTCGATAGGTAGTAGCGCACTAATGAAATATACCAATCGAATCAGAAAAAAATTCTCTACAAGACAGGCTATTAAAAATCGACTGCCATATATTAATATAAAAAAGTTGGGCATCGTGACAGATGACTTCCCGCGGGCACAGATATGACCTTAAAATCGCTATAACTTTTTAAATTGAGCTATTTAGCAAAAATTGAAAGCGGGTTCGGAATCAGCAAAAAATTCTACACAAAATAGGCTGGGTCCCATAACGAAACGCCACCTTGACCTTAGGTGGTTCCCTTGTCAGCTCCCAGTTCCAGGAAGCCCCTGGAGCCCAATTATAGTCCATCGAACCTGCCAGAGTACGACATACATCCCACTGACGATCAGAACAAGGCTCAGAACTCGGTTCAAAAAATCTGCCCCCACCAAAGAACGATTCTGAACGTTAAGACGAGCTTTATGTTCTTGTCCCTTTAAAACCAACGTCGAAGCCTGCCAGGCTCCTTTAAAAACAATAACATCACATCTGGCGAAGCCAACAAGGATCACAAGTGTATATGTTGGAGCTTTATCCCTCCCTTTCCAACCAGCTGTAGCTATGCACCTGGTTTTTGAGCCGTCAAAGCCGTTTTTTGCCCCCGAGCCAGAACATGTGTGGCGGCTCCCGAATCAGCCGGGCTTTTGGATCCCCCACAACTTGGTTAGGGTCAAGAATCCGGCACAAACAGCCCGCTTTTGCTGGGAGCTTTTGCACGGCTTTTTGAGGCTCGATTCTCGGAGGGGGTCAATAGGATTACGGTAGCTTGCCGGGGGGTAAGTTGCGAGGAAAGTAGCGTAGTCGCCGTAGGAAAAGTCAATAATTCGGGCTTGTACCCCCAAAATGTTAGCCTTCGCCTTGGCTTAAGCTTAGGCTTAAGCCTAGGCCTGGCTTCGCGAATGTGTTGCTTGTTGCGTGAAATGCCAGACGACACCTCTAGACGTTTCACACTCTAACGCCCTAACGGAAATTCCAAAGCCTCAGACTACGCTCCCGAAGCTCCGACACGTCGCGCCCACTTTCAATTAAGATTGTCGCCGCCGTTGGATTTCTCTCCACCCAATTCCACGCTTTTCAAATTGACTGCACCCCGCCGGGCCGTCGACCACCCGGATCGACACGTAGCCACCGGCCCCCCCAAAAAAATGCCTTGAGATGCTTAAGAAAACAGCGTTGGGATCGAAGTTCTCGGGTGTCCAAGTCGGCCCATTCCTCCCCCGTTAAATGAGGTACCCCATTCCCCACGGCGGGCCCCGCAGCGTGGCCATGGGTTTCGGGGGGTTTTTTTCTGGCAGCCGGAAATCAGGGGCGCGAAATAGCGTCGTGGCGCGTGCCAGAAAATTTATTGGGTATCGGCCAATTTTCGGGTGGGGGTCAGCTGGTTGGTTTGACGATGGTTTATGGGGTGCCGGATTTTGGGAATAACGTTAAATTTTGCAATTTTTGCTTTACAAAAGATGAGAAATTGAGAAAGGCCACGCTACCGCAACGCGCTCACAGGTTCCTGCCGTAATTCTTGTTTTTAAAACGCTAAAACTTGCCTTGGAAAGCCAATAACGTGAGATTTGCGACGAACGCACCGGATATTGGGGTCCAGAGGAATCACGCGTAGTTTAATCGTTAGCTACGCAATACACCTATCGACATACATATATTGTGAGCACATTCCTTATCCAATCGTCTGCAATTTAGCGTATTACTTGAACTTTTACACATTGTTTAAGGACTTATTAAACCCAAAACTTCACAAAACAACCCCGCTACCTCGTAAATAACCCACTAACACCACCCCTTACTCCCAAATCCCATTTCCAATTCTGCACGCGGTCAGAGCCGTTTTTTGCGCGGCAAAAATCCAGAGCTCAGCCGGCCATCCAAAAAGATTTATTCCGGCTGCGTGCCGGATTATGGAGATGAGTGCGGGTGTCCGCAGGGGGCTTTAGCATAGCAGTGTGGATGGGGTGGAAGTGGAAAGCGTGTTGTGTGTATTCGCGTGTAGTTGACATATTTGTGAAGCTGGGGGTGGGGGTCCAGGTTTTTCAATTAGGATGGCAAGGTTTTTAATGCAAAAAAATGTTGAAAGAATGTTTTGGGTTAGAATCGTATCGTTTGATATCGTTGTAATGCCGTAGCCGAACGTATCGACATGTATCAAGCATCGTAGCGTAGCGTAATAATATTCGTATTATAGTATTAGCGTATCCTAGCGTAAGATATCTGGGCCAAAGTATCATAGCGTATTCTAACGTATTCCAACGTACTAGAGCGTAGCAAAATCGTAATAGCTGATGAATCTG